TGTTATGCCCACTAAATTGTGTGTGCCTTGAGAGCTGGACTATGTCTTAATCATACTTCTATTTCTGAAGTGAGACAAGCAGACATTCAAGTAATGAATGTTTCAAAAGGTATTCCTCTTTCTCTCTTGAAACTGTCAACATGGAAAATTGCCACATTCTCAAGTAAGGCTAAGAGTCTCTTCCAGCTGTCGTGGTGGTTGACGCTATCAACCTCACTGCCACCCCCCCCACCCGCCCACCCCCCGTCCTCACCCAGCACTGCTGCAGTTTCTACTTTGCATCCAAATCAAAATTTCTAGTTTCCTGCACTGGAAAGAAGAGGGATAGGCGTTTTTATCCAAAATGGTGAAAGTTAAGGAAAAGCCAGTTGGTAACCATAGGTCTGCTTTAGTCTTGACAAGAATGAGTAAGAGGGAAACGAGAGATTATATCATCTTTGTTCCCATACATTTAGGTTCTTTAAATAGCCAGAAATGATCAGAAACAAAATTCACTTCTTTAGATGCTGCCTTCATTCCTTGCACTTCTAACCCTACAGCATCAAATAAAATGATTACAGGGGATGGCTTCGCCTCACTCTCTAGTGCTTTGCAGAATGCAGTGCATTTTATAGACATCAACACTGCATCCTGTAGTCAACCCCACTCCTCAGACACTCAGCAAGCAGAGCAGCATATCATAGGATCTAACTGGAATGATGAAAGGATGAAAAGAAGGAATAATTAAGAAGATAATTAATGGTTAGGTCCATCACTGATATTTCTGTGATTGTTTTCGTTTGTTTAACTGGCACATAATCAAGGCTACAGAATTTAGGAACTGAAAAGCCAGTCATTTAAAGCATCATTTAGCAAACCAGATAAGCACATTAACTATGTGTAGCTACTTTAAAAAAAATAAAGCTACAGTGTGTGCTTTCTAGTAGTAAGTTTATAGTATTTGATATTGTATGTTTACTATTATTTTAGTTGAAATTGCTGTTAATTTTTAATTGCCCTTGAATCATGCAGTGGCAGAAGGATACTTTCTAAATTAGTCAAAAATAGCATAGGGTATAAAGACCTAATGTTGGCATCCATTACTGATAACTGTAAAAACATAACTTTTTAGAAGGAAAAGATGAATAGAAGTGAAAAATAAAATTGCCCTTTCTTACCTAAATTTTCCCCTTGGCGAGATTCTAAAGGTATCTATTCAGACAACTTTGTTGAAAGCTTCTTGACCTTGCAAAAAAAGACTGACTTGACTAAACTCAATTAATTGTTTTCTGTCTACAAACAATAATATCAGGCATAATATATTGTTTGATATTGACATCTGCAAATTCTGTTAGTTCTGTCTACCTTCAAAATAGATTCAGAATCCAACCACGTTACATCACCCATTATTGTAATGCCCTCCTAAGTCTTCTCCTGTCTCCTCCATTGCCCTCTCGCTACCTTATTCTCCAGTTGGCAGCCATCAGATTCTGTCGTGCTTCAACCCAAACCCTCCAAAAACTTCCCCACTCACTTATAGTGAAAGCTAAACCCTACAGTGATCTGCCACCCTCCTTGGACCTCTCTAACTATGTCATCTAATATTGTCTCCCCCACCCCCAGTCCATTCCTCCAGAGCCGCTAGCTTTCTGAATATTCCTAGAAACACCAGGCACCATCACTTCTCTGACCAGAGGTCACCTCCTTGCCTCTTTCATTTCTTTGCCCATATGTTGCTTTCTCACTGAGACCTTCTCCAACAGCCCTTTTAAAAATCGCATAGACGTACCAGCCCTCCTCATCTCCTCACTGACCTTCCCAACTTACTTTTTCTCTGTAGTGCTTCTCACCTTCTAAAATACTGTAAAATATTCTTATTCATTGTCTTTCTTCTTCCTCAGTGTAAACTCCATGAGTCAGGTTTTTTGTTTTTAATTGTTTTATGTGCATCTGTCTCCTCAACACATAGAACATGCCTGGTACACAGTAAGCAATGAATGTTTGTTGAATGAATGAATCTATAGACAAGACATTACCCAGCTCTTCCAATGGGCATAGCCTACTAAGTACTAAGATATGGCACAGATATTGGAAAATGTCTTGTCTGCTGGCTTACATTTAAATATTATTTAATTGAAGGGAGCATGGACCATAGGGGTGGAGCAAGACCTCATTAAGAATAATAGATCTCTGATTGGGAGAAATCAATATGAATTAAAACTATGTTAAATGACCGTTTGGTCTATCTTAGGCAAAAGGCTTTTTTTTTTTTAATGTAAGCACCATTATATTCTGTAGAGTGTCTAACATGGTCTCTTGAAAGTTATATTGCTTATCTGTTTCAAGTTGTAAGATAGGTGCTGATAGAGTATTTTTGCCAATGATGGCTATGCCACTGAAATTTTGAATAGCAAAATGATTGAGAAGTGACTTTAGAAGGCCCTACACTGTTTTTGGTGTGGAAATATCTCTAGTGCTTTAATATCTTTGTTCTAATAGAAAAGAGTGACTGAGAGAGTAAGCAGTGTGGTGATAGATGGTTGATACTGGTTTTCCCTAGGAATGGCCTTGAGAAATAATCAACTAAATAGCAAGAAAATACGGATTGCCGCTACCTCATGGACATAGGGTTTTATAAATGTATTAGTTTCTTAACAAATATGAAAAGTGTTAAACATTAGGCACAGATTTTGTTTCTTTCGATCCTTCAGCCTCCAGAACCTCTTTTGCTGGCAAATAAAGATACAGTAATAAAGAAGGTGATGATTTGGGAGATTTACCATGGGGTTGGTTGAAGGTATTGGAAACCTCTTACACAATTGCATGTAGTTCCTGTGGGGTAAAAATCAAGCAAAGATTTTCATCCTCTGTTTGTAGAAGTTTAAATTTTTTCACCATAGATTTCGGAATCTGGAGTGTGTTCTTGTGTTTTGCTATTTGGAGAGGTGGTAGGTACATTTTTGACTGAATCTGTTATGCATTGTTGGTCGTTTGAGGGCAAGTAAAACCAAGTCAGTTGAAATAGAATAGCAATTGAAGTAAAGCAAGTGAAAATGAGGAAACAAAAATATCAAAACGTGCTGTCTTTTGTAGTTTTTTTCTTTTTACTAAATGAAGATTAATGTGAATGTACATATATATAAGAAAAATTTAAAGAATGTCTAAGGAAGACTGTGAGAGTTACACTTGCCTTTTAAGTGTTTCCAAAGCTTATCATCTCATCTAAAGGTCTATGTAGAGTGAAATGATTTGGTTACTCTTTTGACATGGATTCTATCGTAAATATGGCTTAAATATTCTCTCTGCTTATTATAGGTAGATGTATTTTATCTCTTCAACCCTTTTGTGAACTATTTGAGGTTGTAATGTATGTCCTCTGTTCTTTGGTTCATACCTAGTACCCCGCACAAAGCTAGGTAGAAAGAAGACATTTAATATGAGCCTTAAGAATAACTAAGGTTTTGAAAACTGAATCTACTTTTCATGCTTGCACCTGAATTCTGTGGGAGAAAATAAAGTTGTTGATGTGACAAATAAAACCTACTACAATGTGTTTTAGTGAGCAAAATTTTTTTAATGCAATCTTTCATGGCACATGAGAGTTGTAAATGAGGGTAGTAGCAGGTAGGGCAAGAGGTGGGGAAAAAATACAGCTCCTAAACCAGAGGTGAAATTTTCACCAGACCTTAAAGACTGTTCTCTGTTCTATATTGAAATTTATTCCCAAGGTCAAAAATTGAAAAAATGACCATAAATGTTAAATTATGCAGTTATCCTGGGCTCTATGAGGCCACTGAACTAACACACACATATTAAATTTCTTTTTTAATGTAAAATTAATAAATTAAAGGTGAGTCAAAGTTTGTACAGCTCATTTTAAAAATTACAATATGGAAGGTAAATACACTGCTGTGTGGGAATACATTGCTTATCTGTCACTGATAGCTAATGAATTCTTTCCTATTAAAATTTAATTGAAAAATCTTCAATGATATTTAAGCTTTCACAGAAGTGTAAACTACTGTGACTACAATTCACAATGCATTTAAAACAATTATTCTTTATCATTAAAGTTAATAATATGCACATTAACCTCTTATGTAGTCTAAATCAATATTGTAGTTTAAAAGATATGACCTCTGGACAGCTTTGTCTAAATATTGATTTCATTGTCATTTGTATAAGGTATCAAACAAATTACATGCTGCACTAATATCATTAATGCTGCCCCCATAGAGCCTCTGACTTTATGCGTTCTTATAATACAGGACATGACATTACAAAAATGTTGAGGACATCACAAAATATAATTACCGAGTGGATGAGATTTGACTGTGGCTGAGCAGTGTCGCTGTAAACATATGATAACTTCCAAATCCTTCACTCTTAGTGGACAGAAAAAAATGGTGCTCTTTAATATGCAGGCTGGTCGTTGAGGTTGTTTTCGAATGGCAGGACGTTTTCTGCCTCAGAGGGTCTAATTTACCTTCTTGTGATGCCATAGATATTCCAGAAGAGAATCTAAAGTCACATTAAAATGTTGTAATTCTGTGATATAGCAGTTTTCCCCAAATAAACTTGTTGAGAAATTCGTTACAAGTTATTAGTGAGTCAGATGATTTGGGACATACATGCACTAAAGTAAAGGAGCTGAACCTTTCAAATGATCATTGAATTAAATAAAGACTGATTTAGGAAGGAATGGACACGTATCACATTTCCCCTTATAATTGGCAGTAATAGTATTATGTTTGTTAAAAAAAAATTGCAAATTAAAATCCCAGCTCTATAATTTGCTCTCTTTTACTTTTTTCAGGTTCTATATTGCTCAGAGTCACAATTGTTAACATCACCCAGTTACATCTAACTCTATTTTGATGGGCTTTTTTTTTCAATTTTAAAAGCTGCACTTTACTTTTTGTTTTCTATGAAACTTTTTAGGAAAGAGATGTGGTCATGATCCCGACACTGTGAACTGTGAGTGCTATTTACACTGAAAATGTTCCCCACGTCTCTTGCAGGTAAAAGTGACCCGTTTTGTGTGGTTGAACTGAACAATGATAGACTGCTAACGCACACCGTCTACAAAAATCTCAATCCCGAGTGGAACAAAGTCTTCACGTTGTAAGTAGTCATTACCATGAGCTAATTTAAAAAATGGTGCTACATGATACTTATTTTTGAGATTTTTGTGTGTTTATTCTTAACTGATTAACAACTCAGTGCCTCTGGCCTGCCTTCGCTAGCAGCAATGAATTGCGCAATTGCATTACCTTCCTGAGAGTGAAACCTGGGGAAAGGGTATGCCATTTTTCTTTGTTTTCACAGATTTTTTTTTTTAACTGTGAGTTTTCTATATGATTTGACTAAGGATTTTGCTCCCATTAACTGAATTGCTATACTGCTTCTTCCTTTTATACTTTCTATTGAAATTCTCCCCAATTGCATTGACACCAAGGAGGACAAAGCTCTATTTGTTCTATTGCTCAAATCAGCAAACAATCCGGTCTCAAATTCGGCAGATGTTTTAGTTTGGGTTTGTTGCATTTTAGCACAATAAGCATACTAAGTACTGTCCCAGTTACCAAAACACCCTTTGAGTTAATTTTCTTTTTGTTTTAAAAAGTTTGTGAATCTTTTCTATCATGCACTGTGATAGCTGCTAAAACTATACCATAGTATTTCCTAAGTGGTGGTTTTAAATTGGGCTTTAGAAATGAACTCTGAACAAAGGAAAACTCTCCAAACAGAAGTACTTCTTAAAAGTTTTCTAATGTAGTTTTTTTTTTTGTCTATAAGAAACTGCTAAATTCCTCATTAATTTCTTATGTCTCTGCTTAAGAGCCAGTAACTAATCAGATTTAATTATCTGACCAAGTTATCTTTAAGGAATTTCACATTTTTATTAGAGATGAAAGCCTGGTCAGGAGACCCGCACTCTTAAGGTTGTGGAGAGTGTTTTTCTCTAGAATGCATATTGAATGAATAGGTTTGATTATTATCAAAGCCATTAATTGATTATACTCTGATAAAGCCTCTTCTCACATGTGGTTGCAGTCTTTCAGTAATGAATATATTCATTTTTTGTTTTCTCTTAATTCATGTTTTCTTGGTAAACAGCTTGATCAGAGAATAAATGCTGTCAACAATCGGGGCTTATTTTTCCAGAAACAAAAATATGAAGAGCTTGCAGTTGTTTATTAACATATGTTGTCTTTGGAACATAATGGAACACTACTTAATTTCTATCAATGTTACATTTTTTCCATTCTGTACCCTGTGTTGGTTAATTTTTACTATAAACCTGATGGGATTAAGTCAGTGTTTTGGAGAGCTGTAGATAAAAGGTTGTACTATTATAATAAAAATTATTTAAAATATGCTATGACTTTTGCTGTTATTAAACCTGGTAGTGTTTTATGTGGGAGTAATAAGATAGGAATTATTGTAATAATAACAAGAAGGAAAAAATCAGTGCCACTTATTGATGGGGTTTTTTTCTCACAATAACTTAGTCTGTACCTATCCAAATGGAAATTGTATTTTATTAAAAAATTATGACTTAAAATTACAGTGGTATTCAAAGTTCCAGCTAACGGAACCGTCACTGTAGTCAACTAAGGTGCATTGTGGGAAATTCTGTCAGCTACCAAGCTACCTTATGTATGTGTATGCAAATAGTATACATAAACCACTTACATACCATATCGGCTGAAGCTATCTAAATTTTCAAAAGCATTTTTGTTCTTGTTCCCCACTGATGAAGTCTTTTTTTCTTAAATTTATTTATTATGCAGCAACATTAAAGATATCCATTCAGTTCTTGAAGTGACAGTTTATGATGAAGATCGGGATCGAAGTGCTGACTTTCTGGGCAAAGTTGCTATACCGTTGCTGTCTGTAAGTTTTATTCACCTGACACACTGCTCTGTGTTGCTTTTGCTCAAGAAAAAAAAAAACCCTCAGCTCTATATCTGTCATTTCTCAACCAAGGTCTGTAATAAGAACACTAAAAATTTTAACATACTCAATTCACGGCCATGTTGAATCCCATGATAGTTAATTTTTCCTGACAGACTTGATCCTGGTAATGAACAGGTACTTGTCAGAATTGCCACAGTTGTTTTGGGTTCTCTGTCAGTTTCAGCAGCTGGGGGTCAAAGGTCACCGAGGGAGTGTATTCAGTGGAGACTGCGAGACAGACGGCTGTCATGTCCTTTTCCCGCAGATTCAAAATGGTGAACAGAAAGCCTACGTCTTGAAAAACAAGCAGCTGACAGGGCCAACAAAGGGGGTCATCTATCTTGAAATAGATGTGATTTTTAATGCTGTAAGTCTTAACTTTGGCTTTTTTGTACTGCTAAAGAGTTCAGTTTCATGAAAGCTTTTGTTCCTGATTTGTAGAGAATTTCTGTCATTCCTCATTTTCTCTAAACCTTGATGTATCCTGGAGAATACGCTTCTGCCACTGCCTGGCACACCCACACTTTGTGTTGTAGTCGGCGGCTGCCGCTGCGGCTGTGCTCTGGCCGCTGCCTGCCGGCGTCAGAAACGGAGGCGCGCACATGGGCCACTGTATACTTTTATATTTTATGAGCACAGCAGCTGGGACTTTGAAACTTTAGAAATGATTGCAAATTGAATTGCGTGAAAAACTTGTAAACATTTGTAATCTATTAATCCATAACAGACACATATGTTGATGTGTAGGTGAAAGCCAGCTTACGAACATTAATACCCAAAGAACAGAAGTACATTGAAGAGGAAAACAGACTTTCTAAACAGGTAAAAAGCAAGGCAAGATTAATCCCTCTGGGAAGACCTGATTGTATCTGTAAAACATCTAAGTTAATTCAAATAAACTTTGGAGGTGTGGAGGGGGGAAGACTATGGAATTTTGGATCATCTACTGATGTAAAATGGCTCTTTCTTTTCTTCTTTCTTTTTCTCTCTTCTCTTCTTTCCTTAAAAGATCAAACAAGGACAATACCAAACTAATAAGTGGAGGGGGGTGGTCAGGAAGGGAAGGGGATACTGTAGGCGCTGCAGAGGATGGATATGTATTCATGTGTTAGCAGAAGAATGATCATTTTGAACATAAAATACAATTCGATTGCCATAGGGTGTGTAAATGAGAACACCAAAAGCTGAGGTTCAAATATATGTCCAGACCACCCACAGGTATGATGCAGGTGTGTGTAAGGCGAGCCCAGCCTAAAGCTCTTCCCTCTAATCCACAAGAGAGGGGGCTCTATCTTTGAAGGAAAACCTTCCTGTTAATTAGATTTGGACCATGATCTTTTAGAAGTGAACCTTTATTGGCATTTTTAGCTAAGAAAATAGAAAATCAGGAACCCTGGTTTTCCTGTCATGAAGGAATTTTAAATTAGCCTTGATATCTCGTAATTAGACTTGCAGTTTTAAATACAGATTGATTTTGGTTAAGAAAAGAATCCTAAGCCACCCCTTGAAAAAACTGCTTACTTCCAATTAACACAGCTAAAATAAAATGTACTTGTTATGGCTGTAAAATTAACAGAACTCATTTGTGTATGTTGAAATCTTTAATAATTTCCTGTGCTCTTAGAAAACTAAAGATAGTTTTGTTTTTAATTCAATCAATTCACTATAAGCAGTGGGATCTTTGGTTGTTTAAAGACAGTGCATGAGTTACAAATGTAATATCTATCTGAATAGAAATATAGATTACATTTTTCCATAATTGTAGATAACAGTAATAAAAGTAGCTCTTAGAGGAAGGTGATTGATCAGGGGCCAAGGAAACAAATAAGGAGACTCTTCACTTTGCCTGAAAGAAATGTTAACAACTTGTTTAAACTGGTATCTGTGTACATGCATCTCATATATATATATGTATAAGTAATACATATATGTGTATTTTTTCCATATGACTCAGTTAACTTTACATAGCTACTTCTTTAAAATAGCTGATCAGCCCTGAGGTGTATTTGGAAGTAGCAAAATACTAACCTGCAGACATATCACTCTAATTATTAACATAGCTTTAGGTAAATTTTTGAACCTTATTTAGTGTATGGGCTGGTTTTTTAAATATCTGTAGTCATGCCTTAGTTTAAAATTTCAAATTTAAATTATATCAATTCTCACAGACCTCTTTTTTCTTGTTCCATATCTTAGTTTATTTGCTGCCTTTGTTTTTAATTAAAGTATAGTTCATGTACAGTCTTACATAAGTCAAGGTATACAATATAGTGATTCACAATTTTTTAAAGGTGATTCTCTATTTATAGTTATCATAAAATATTGGCCATCTTCCCCATATTGTATAGTATATCTTTGTAGCTTATTTTATACATTATACTTTGTCATATACCTTTTTTAGTAAAAGATTTTATAAAGTATTTGATTACTATATATTTTTCCCTAACTTCAAAATTATGAAAAAGTAATAAGAAAATATAGGTGAAATTTATTGTGGGAAGGAGAGAGGGTGAGAGGTGAAGAGGGAAAAAGAGAGAGAATGGGACTACAATAGTAAGAAAGGGAGAATCCTACTGAAATGGTGGGAAAAAAACAGTTTTCTATAATAAAGGAATACTTGACAGATTTTTCTCTAAGGCCCTAGAGAAAAACATCGCAAGTTATCCATTTTCCTTTGAAATATCTTGAAATTAAAGCATTTAAAGAATTTATAAATCACAAGATTTAAGAATCTTTAAATATATGTAAGGTTCATAGTATATAAATAGGAAAAAAATGTTTTTGACCTCTTGGAGATTATTTTTTCTTTTGAACAAAGGTAGCCCAACCTGCGTGATAATATTATTTGTCAAAATATATTTAACTAATAAACTGCTGTTATAATTTAGTTCTTTCCACCTTCTCCAGAGATACTTTTTTTCCCCTAACTTATGAGCCAAATTGCTTGGTATATCCTTACAACTTTATTAAGTTTCTGAATCCATTTTAAATCACACTGAACTTGAAGACTTCTGTAGTATATCTGATAGGTTTTAGTGTTTCAGATTCTAACAATATTTTCATCTTCCTTACAGCTGCTGCTAAGAAACTTTATCAGAATGAAGCGTTGTGTCATGGTGCTTGTAAATGCTGCATATTACGTTAATAGTTGCTTTGACTGGGATTCACCCCCAAGGAGCCTCGCTGCTTTTGTGGTATGCTCATACTGTATTACTCACATGGTTCTTCATTAAATTCAGTAATCATAGCTGCGTGTTTCTGTGGCTATAGTAACAGTTCTGTTAATCTGGCCATTTTAAATTTCTATTTTGAAACTTGCCTGGACAGATTTACCGTGGGCAGGAGCTGATAGATTGTTCAAGGTCTGAGTCCAAGAATATATCTCCTCAGATTTCCGGAATGCAAGACATCTCAGCCAATGTACAATTTTTTCTGTGACAGTTAAAAAGTAGAATTTTACATATTGCATAATTCTACATACCAGTAGCAGAGCCAAGAAAAGTCCTTAGTGGTAAAAAAAAAAATTAATAATCTTGACCATCCTCTTTTTAATTTTATTTGTTCTGTAGATTTTTTTTTTCAAAATATGAAAATCATTGGTAGTAGAATGCCAGTTGGTAATACTTTAAGAGGTGAATCAGTCAAATGTGCGTGTGATCTATTTAAGACACATTTTATTGTTTGAGATTTCCAGTTTTTAAAAAAGCACAAGTGAGAATTTGCTAGATCCAAATAGTCCTCTGACAGTGTTGATCTTGTAGCCTTTTACTTTGGTTATTTAAAAACTGCTGATGAGACTAACTTGCAGAGCTAGAAAATCTGAAAGAATACTTTCCTCTGTGCTTCAGCTGGGATTTTCTGTACTCACGTTATTTTCGCTTATTCAGGATTTCAGTCTGAAGTTTAAGTGGAGTCCTGCTTTTGAAATCTTTTTTTTTATTGTCATATTTGTTAGAATATGAGTACCTCTTGTGTCCGTATAGTTTCCAGTTTAGCAGAATATGACTTTATTATGGGGACTTACAGAAAAGAGCCTTAATTATAGTAACAAATCAACATTTTTAGTATTACCATTCAAATGAGTGTATGCACATCTGTTTAGTACTTTGAGCTCTGTCCTCCTCTCAGGCTGTGTATGGGACTTTCATTAATGTCTGAGGACATGGAACAAAGAGTGTGTATGTCCCTTTGTGTTGTAAGTTACCAGAAAGTTAGGCAGCCTGCTTCCCATAGACATGTTGTTGTTTCCTTAGAGAAAGCGATTGTCATCATCATTTTTAGAAAAGAAAATCTGCCTCTTCCAATATTCTTTTATGTAGCTCCTTCACGTAATTAATACATTGGAGTATGGTTAAGCAAACTTTTATTATAATTTTTCACTATCTTAAAGTTACTTGGATTTTAATGAGGAGAAAATGATACTGAGTTTCTGTGTGTATTTTAAGCCATTACGTCTAGGTTTCAGAGGCCTTAGAGCAGACGCAATAATATTCTACTGAAAATGTCATGCTGCCATCTTTGATTCATACCTTCCAGAGTCATTCCCCACAGCTATTTGTGAAGTTTGAAAACAGAGAAACCTGTAAAATTATATAATTTGTTCAGGAACATTCATTTTGAACTCTTTAGCGTTACAGTGTGTGTGTAAGTCTTCATAAACTTTATCTGGCTTCTAGAGGTCACTCATGTACAATGCATTCAAGATGGCAGGCCTTTTCACAATTTCCTTCTGACTGAGAAAAAATCAGGCACTGAAACTGTGAGAAACTTAACTACATGTACATGATAATACTTGAGTGATTTCATTGTAAGGGAGTCAAAATTCACTAGGGGAAGAAATGTAGTCATCTCTGTCTTAGCTGGTGGTCAGTTTCTAACAGACTCGGTCTTACAAGCCACAAGCTGAATACAAGATGCTTTCAGAAGAAAGGGTGATGGTGGGAGGTGGGCACAATAAAGGTAGAAAAAGGGACTCCAGACGTGGATGGTGAAAAAAGAGGCCAAAAACTACAATACGAATGCATGTTAACAGTACTTTTGCGAATAAACAGTAATATTAACTGTTTCATTGGGGGAAAAAAGAAAAAAGGCATGCAGTTATATTCCACTAAATGCAACTGAAACAATGAATAGTAAAACCCAGTTCCATTTATCTAGATCTGAACCAAGAGTTCCATGAAAATAGGACCCTGCCGTTTTCACCTGGGTCCAGTGTCTGGACCTGCAGTGTCCAGCTTTAAGCGGGCTCCCAATATAAATGGTGGTCTAAATTAATAGACAACCAGTGATCCAGTCAGTCAATCTGAAGATTTTTTTCTTATGTGGAGAAACTTTCTTCAGTGATGCTAGAAAAGTAAGGTTTTGCTCTAATAAAGCTGGTTATTAAGTGATGATACACATGGCTTAATGCTTTGTAGTAATTTTTCCTAGATCTTCCATTTAAATTCCAAACTACTTCATAATCCCCTCTCAATCATCTGTTTTAACTTCAAATTAAATTCTGATACCAAAAAATTCTTACATAATAGCAACAACTAATATTTATTAAGAGTGTATGTGCCAGAGAACTGTTTTTCAGGCAGTAAAGCACAAAAGTGCTTTGCATGCGTTAATGAATTTAATATTCCCAGCAACCATATGATGAGGGAGATACTATTATTTTCCCAATAGACGGAGAAAGAAGCTGAGGCACAGAAAAGTTGAGTACTTTGCCCAAAGCCACACAGAAGATATTATTTCCTTTCTAAAAGAGCTTTTAAAATATGTATCTTATAGTCTTAAGATCATAACAATTCAGGAAAAAAAACTGTAGTAGGATTTTTATTCATCTTGTAGCTATTAAATGATGTATTTAAAAATGAAAGGTTTCAAAGATCTTACTGCATAACCAGAACCTTTTTAGGCCAGTTTATTGAAAAGAACTGCTTTACATTAGGAGAAGCTATGAGCAGTACCCCATTGTTACAAACATATTGTTCCCATCATCCCTTGTTGATGGGTCTCGGGTCTTTTATTGTAATATTGGTTCCACTTGGCCCACTTTTTCATAAATGCAGCTGCCTTGTGGAGCACACGCATTTGTACCATTATGCCGCTTGGTTTTAGGCCCAGATCAGTAAACTTTATAATGTTTAAGGGTCTTTTTTCTCTTCGGCTTGCTTTTTCTTTTCAAATTTACTCTCCAAAAATAAATGTAGAATAACGAAATCAAAACGGAAAAGCAATAAATTTTTGTCCCAATGTCAGTTAAAGAGGAGAGCGTGAGAAATGCTAGTGGAGAGCCGCTCCTACCTCTTTGATGCTACCTCCGTGCTTGGTGGGAGGTTCAAAGCCTGCTGGCGATGCTGGAAGTGGAAATGGGCCTGGGCAGTGATGGATAAAATATAAGCAAACACATTCCTGGGAGTGTCCTTGTTGTTGTGCGCTGTGCTTTACGTTTTTAAATTTTACTGTCAATATTGTGTGCCTAAGAGCAAACTCAGGCATTTGCGGAGCGGAAGGCACTAGTGCTTGTCTTTTGGAATCATCTATTGTAGACATAGAAATGTCTCATAAATTGGGCCTAATTTTCATCAGGCTCTTGACCAGACATTTGTGTTCTTGTGGATGTCAGTGGGTGCAACACAGGAAAAAAGAAAAAAGAGTGCACGTTCTCTCTTTCTGTTCAGTACTGTCATTCCTCACTGTAATGAGCACAAAAATAATTGGACAACTGAGCTATCAGTAAAAGGACACACTTCAGTGTGCGTCAAAGAATTATTTTACAGGACAAACTTTAATCTTTAAATGGGATTGTAGATAATTTGTGGTACCATCTGTCCATTTGGAATTGTTTTAGCCTTTTCTGTCGTTATACAGTAAGTGCCGCTGTGTTTAACATTAACATTTGATATTTTACACATTTAATTTCTGTTCTGCTGTGTGGTCCTTAGGGAACGGAGCGCTAGTGCTACATGAGAGAGACAAAGTATTGATCAGTTAACATTTCAGCTACATTTATGTATGTCGCAAAATTAATGAAAATGCCAGACAAAAATGTCAGAGTGCACAAAAAGGTAGAATTTAAATTTGGTAGTTTAATGAAAAGTTTAAGATGTGCATTATCAAAAATGTCCTCTTGCCTTTAAAGTACAATTCCTAACAGAATAACTAAAGGGAGGCACATATTTTACTTAGAGGAACAGTGAACATGAATTATGAAGGGATGTCAACTCCTCAAAGTACCTTGTGTTCCAAAACGGCGTGTTTGAATCTTTAACTGTTGCTTGTAGAATACATTTGTTTCTGCTCATATCTTGAGGGCTACTGGCTTCAACCCTCCGTGCTGACCAGCCTACAAGACAGGCTCCCTACTGAGATTCTCCCCCTAGGTTTTCCTTGGTATCCATGCATTCCTTTTGTGTCAAAACTGAGAATTCCCTCTTTGGCAATTCATTGAGGCCACTCTGGTTCATTACTCGTTCCTTTCTGGGTCCTTTTCAAATGCCTGGTTTTCCTTTGCTCCCAGATCATTTGAGCTCCACCTTCATTCAGTCCCCATTTTAGTAAAGGATCACACTCGGGACAACAGCGACTCTCAGAAAAGCTGGGCCATTATGTGAGAAAAGAGAAAAAACAGATGATGTATGCAAAGAATGACATGAGGCAGCTCTGTGTAGCCAAATGATTTAAAAAAAAAATGAAGGAAGCACAAGCAACGGAGAAGGAACCGAACTTGCAGAAGCGATAGGAATATAATACAATGATCTGAAGACAATAGGGTCCCGAGAACACCGCACCAGGTACTTCCTGTGTACAGAGCCAGCTGCTATTAAACAACATACGGATTTTTCTAAAAGTTATTTCAAACGATAAGGACATTTTAAGTGGCCTTCATGTTCACGCACTAAAAGGGGAGCATTGCTTAAGAAGAAATATCAATGTGAAAACAAAGACATGTCAGCATCACTGGTGGTTCAAATGCCAGTCAATGCAAGTAGTAGCCTTCCTACTACTGAACAATACGTACTGGGCAGATGGGAGGTAACTTTACATTTCAACAGAAACTTCCATTTGAAAGAATTTAAGAGACACCAGTAATACCACACCGACAAAATTATGCTTTCAGGTCTAGAGCAAATTTCACATGATTTTTATAGAAGCTTTTGCTGTTGTTGTTTTGCTACTATTTTTTTCTTTTTCGTGCTAGCAGAAG